AATGGATAAATAGGTAGCGAAAGACTAATAGTGAACTCAAACAAAAAATAAAATATGAATAGGTCTTGAAATAAAACTCACTTCGTCTGAATATAGCATAGATTTCGCTGCGAATAAGTGTGCCTTATGAGTGGCTCGGGCTAGTCGTAAATGCATGCTTTGTGAGACCAAGCGGTCGTAAGAGACAGGAGTCCCTTCGGACTCGAACTGACTTCCTAAAGGCCATAGGTTAGATGAATTTGCAGACGAAGATCCATTTAGGTTCTTTACAGTGTCGACTTGAGAGTTCTACAATATAATTAGAAAAATTCAATTTCGAATTAAACAATGAATGCAAAATAATGTAATACACTAGATAAGTGAGTTTGTTATTTAACTTGAGTGAATATTAAGAAACTACTTAAGAAACGTAGGCCTAATTAAGATATCAAGTATTACTGAATAGGCATAGCATTGTTTGGAAAGCTAGTATTATTTTTTGCATGCCCGATTATTTGTCAATCCTCAGTTTCTTGTAAAAACAAATGACAATGTCCAACTGAGATGAGAGCAATAGTTACGAAGAACATGTGACTATAAACTAGTAACAAAGTTTAAAGCACAAAATACTTTCCAATCTTAGCTAAACTGCGGTTTCAACCTCGCCTCAAGTTTATCAGCATCCTTAGTTGGATTAAAAACCATATGAGCAGCAAGCCACTCAGGATGAGAATCTATTAGGAGACCAAACAGTGCAAAATCATTAAATCTACTCAGTTCATAATAAAAATATTCAGTAATCAGTCCTACATAATCCTATGCAACTTTAAATTTAAGGTGGATAAATGATCTATTAAACATATGCTGAAACATACCTTTTACATACATAGTTCTAAAGCAATAATAATGACTATTTTATCTATATTCATGATATCTGATCTTGGTGATATTATTTGATATCTGCAAAATATATGGATTAAAATGAGGCACGCCAATTAATAAATTATGCAGCTAAAGTCGAACCAGCGAAACCGAAATTAAACACAAGGATAGTAAAATAAATCAATAAAGATATCCTTAAACGTCAGTAAACTCACAGCTTTTTCCATAAGTCGCCGCTTACGCTCTAATTGGTACCTAACGAGCGCCTCAGCCAGTTGAGCTTCCAGGTTTGCGACCTGGAGCTGAAGAGCTCTTATTTGCCTCCGAGCAATCCGCCCACATTTACAATAATTGACAGCTTCAGATTCATTAGGCTCAGACGACTCCAAAGTTGTATTAGCTAAACATTCCTCATCTCTTTTAGTCTCAAACTGATCCACCCCTTCAACTCCAGGCGAATTTGGGGAAAAAGAAGAGCAGCAGCAATGATAATAGGAACAGAAACATCCACAATCCCTGTCTAAAGGAGAATGCAAAATAGTTGATCGCCAAGGCAAACGAATAATTAATTGTTGAGAGATTTTGCTATTGACGTCAGTATTGGTAGTAGCAGTAATGGAAGAAACCACACCTGTGGTCGGTGGGATCGGGATAGAAGATAAAAGATGTCTGGCGTCGACAGATCCCATCACCTGATTCAAAGGTTCGAAAGGAAATGGACTGGAGGCCCGGTCCATAGAAGTCTGCTTGACTAAGGTACAGGCCTGGAGATGATCCTCTGGACGATTCATACTGCCGGAGGATGACAAGATCAAAACGGAACTTGCTGAGCTGGAATCTGAAGAGTCACGAATCTTAGCTGTCAATCCAGCTTGTGAATCGGCAGTGAAAACAGGCCCTGGAGCCTAGCAAGTGTGAGAAGAATAAGAGCCGAGTTCAAAGAAAATCCGGTATAAAATAAAGGAGCAAAACATAAGTTTGATAATTTTGAAATTGTATTTATGATTAGACTTAGCCAGAAGCAAAAGCCTTAAAAATCAAAGTAAAGCAGAGGAAGTAGTCAAAGCTGCTGAGGCATATATATGTTCATATAATAAAACATCTCGCAAATGTTAATGAATATTGTATGCATCGATTAAAAAGGGATTAATGCACGGCAGTAGGTAATATAATATATATATATATTAAAGGTAGCATAGTTTAAAATATTTGACATCTATTCATTTTGAATCAGGTCTGGTCACAATGATCCTCATGATGTTACCCGTTGTTTGAATGTCCCTTAATAGGAGTATATTATAAGTTGCATGGTCAGAATCTATATGCGTATTCAGAAAAATAATTTACACCTTATATGACAATTTTAAATAAAGTGGTGCATTTGGACAAGATCCGTGAGATTATCAAAAAGGAAGTCTGGTTTTATAAGACCTGATTTAGATAATCTTAAAAGTTCTATAATAAATATTTCTGATTATCATCATAAACCAATCAGGTTAAATTCCATACTAACTTTTCATTACGTAGGTATATAGAACATTAATGGATCCTAAATAAGGACTTTGAACAAATCAGTTTTAAAACTAATGCCTGCACTTTCACCCTCCAGTATTTGCTGGAATGAGTTCATTAGAAAAGGCTTTAAAAGTTTTTTATAGACAATAAAATATCAATCTCTGGTTGCCCATGCACATCGACATAAACCACAATTCCAATAAACTATATAATGTTGAAAAAATTCTGCAAAAATATAGGTCGGTCATATGATTTATAGTTAGCAACTTAT